TATTTATTGTGCTTATAATTCCTTACTAAATGTAGTATTTAATTTCGATGTACTCCGTCTTTGATATGATTTAAATCAAATTCCTCGTCATTATAAATATCACGAATACAAATCAAATAGTTTTGTGGATTCAATTTTCTAATTTCGGCTATGCGTAAGGTATGCTTTACGCATCCGCGCGTTGAAAGAAATGTTTAATAAAGTAAACAAATAAATATTAGGCTTCTTTTTTGGTAAATTTTGATACCCTTTAGATCATAATTGCTCATTATTTTATAAATTACGGTTTCATATTTTTAATTTTATAATTTCTGCATGCCATCTTACCAGATTTAAACTGATGATCTATAATCCGGAAAAATCGATAATCCGGAATCGACGAGTCCGGATTAAAGACTTTTGACTGTATTTACATCCCGCCTAATGAACATTAAAAGATTTAGAGGATCTAATTGCCCAACTACCAGCTCCGTTTATTCTAGTCGGTGATTTCAATGGACACAATCCCTTGTGGGGTAGTAAAGACACAAACCCACGAGGGAAGCAAATTGAACAGCTACTCCATGACCACTGTCTCTGTATCCTTAACAACGCAGAAAGCACTTATTTTCATCAGCCAACAAGGAACTTCCATTCCATTGACCTTGCTATTGTTTCTCCACAGCTTTTGCCATTTTGTTTCTTTAATGTTGAGAATTATCTATATAATAGCGATCATTTTCCTATTATCATAAGCATTACAGGAAATAGGAGTGTGTTTATACCTAGAACACCACGCTTTTTGTTGGACAAAGCCAACTGGGACTCTTTCTTACATTATGCTCTTTTTACTGAAGAAATAGTAAAGAATGTGCACATTGATCAAGCTGTGAAGATCATTACAGATAAAATTATTCAAGCAGCTGATATACGTATACCAAAAACGTCGGTAAAACAGCCAAAATACCCAGAGCCCTGGTGGAATCCTGAATGCCAGGATGCCATCAGAAAACAAAGGAAAGCTTGGAGCATTTTTCGGCGATATCCTTCAGAATCAAATCTCATAATATTCAAAAGGGCTAAAGCAAAGCTCGGCAGGTGCGAAGGAAAAGTCAGAAGAATTCTTGGATCTCGTATGTGTCTTCGATTAGCTCTTCAACTTCGAGTAAGAAGGTCTGGGAGAGAGTCCAGAAAGCGTCCGGTATCTACAAAGAGCACACACTTTCCATTTTAAAGACAAGTGGTGAAACAGTTACTAGTAGAGAAGAAATTGCCAACGCTATTGGACAGAGTTTCTCAGACGTCTCACACAGTAATAACTACCCTCTTGAATTTCTTTCCACAAAAAAATGCATTGAAAAACAACTAATTAATTTCAACTCTCCCAATACTGAACCATATAATCAGGATTTTACTGTGCTTGAACTGAAAAGGGCTCTGTTGCAGACAAAAAATTCATGTCCTGGTCCAGATGATATTGCCTATCCTATGCTGAAACATCTTCCTTCCAAGTCATTGGCAGCCATCCTCTATCTCTTTAATAGAGTATGGAAGGAACAAGTCTTTCCAAATGCCTGGAAAATAGCTTTTGTCATTCCCATTGTTAAACCGGGAAAAGACCCTACTAATTCGTAAAATTACCGTCCCATCGCCCTAACTAGCTGCCTCTGCAAACTCTTTGAAAAGATGGTCAACACTTGTCTGGTCTATTATTTAGAGACAAATAATTGTATCTCCCCTTATCAAAACGATTTTAGAAAAGGAAGAGCAACTGTCGATAATATCCTACTCTTAGAAACAGGTATCCGTAGAGCGTTCGTTAGAAGAAATCATTATGTTTCCATTTTCTTTGATATAGAGAAAGCCTATGATACCACCTGGAGATACGGTATCCTTCGTGACCTATATAACAATGGTTTAAGAGGAAACATGCCGATATTCATCAAACATTTCCTACAGGATCGGAAGTTTCATGTGAAGATGGGCGATACACTTTCTGACATGTTCCATCAAGAAGAGGGCGTTCTGCAATGAAGTGTATTAAGTGTTACATTATTTAGTATAAAAATTAACTCTATTTTAAAACAACTACCTCCAGCAGTCCAGGCTATGTCGCTCTATGTCGATGACCTGCAAGTCAGTTGCCAGGGAGAAGACCTGAAAGACATTGAGTGTAAACGCAGACATCTCTCAATAAAATTGTTAAATGGTCACAGGAAAATGGTTTTAGATTCTCTACTCAAAAGACTGTGTGTGTACATTTCTGTCGAAAGAAAATTCCTCACCCTGACATCGAACCTTATCTGCAAGATGTGCTGATTCCTGTAGAAAAGGAAATAAAATTCTTAGGAATGATATTTGACCATAAGCTTACGTTCCTCCCCCATATTACCTATCTAAAAAAGAAATGTTTAAAAACTATGAATATTCTGAAAGTACTGTCAAATACTTCTTGGGGTGCTCATCGAGGCTCAATGCTTCTTATATATAGAGCTTTCATTCGTTCGAAACTAGATTATGGATCAATCATTTATGGGTCGGCAAGGCCTTCAGTATTAGCCAAACTTGATCCGATACATCACCAAGCACTTCGGATATGCACTGGTGCCTTTAGAACTTCTCCAGTGGAAAGCTTATATGTGGAAAGTAACGAGACCCCCCCTGCGGTTAAGACGTGAAAATCTTTGTTTTAAGCATTATTTCAGTCTTATCACAAACCGAAAATTCTACGCGGTCAAAATTGCTTAATGACCAATACTCCCGTTTATATCAGGCACGACAATCATGTGTCCCATCTTTCGGCTTGCAGATGAATGCTTTGGTAGAGGAGTATAATTTGTCTAATATAGATATACAGATGGAGGATTTGTTTGGAATTCCTCCTTTGGAGGATTGGAGAATCCATTCTCTGGATACTTTTCGACACTGGAGTAAATCACAAACTAATGAAATCATCTACAAGCAGATATTTTTTTAACATAGAAACAAATATAGGAAATATATCCCTCTATATACAGACAAATCAAAATCCCAGGATCATGTTGGCGCCGCTTTCGTCACAGAGAAAACAATAGTAGGGGTTCGATTACATACAGTTTGCTCTGTGCTTACTGCAATCCATCTGGCTTTGACTTACCTTTCAAAATAAAAGTACATAAAATTTATAGCAGAAATTCTCAGCAAATGGCAGAAGCAATGGGATGACAAAGTATATAACAAGCTGAGAAATGTAAAACCCACCATTGGATACTGGCCATGTATGGCTAATAGAAAGGAAGATGTCCTCTTGACTCGACTGAGAATTGGCCATTGTCGCCTGACCCATGAGTATCTTCTGAAGGGAGAAGAGAATCCCAGCTGCCCAAGCTGCAATGCAGATCTGACAGTTCATCATATCTTGGTGGAATGCCAGAGTTTTAATTATTTTCGCCAAAAACATTTTAATTGTTCAGAACTGGACTTAGGAAATTTAATTGGAAAAACACATCATCGTAATTTGTTTCTGTTTTTAAAAGATATTGGCTTTTATAATAGACTTTAACCTGTTTTTTAAAAGATATCAGCTCTTATCATAGATTGTAATCTGTCTCTTTTTACCTAAGCTGGAAGTTTTTACAAATGACCAATGGCTTTGTTACCATTTGTCTGGCGCAGATAACCTTGACAGGTTTTGTGCCAAATTACAATAATCCAATCCAATGTAGGGAAACAAGGTAATTTGCACCATTGAAGCATTCAGGTAGAAGGTCCCAACAGATGATCTCCGAGAATCCCTTCCCAGATGTTAATACTGAACTTGTGTTACACTTACGAGACAGTGCTGCGGGGATTTTTGGACAACTACATATGTTCAATGTGCATGTTGACTGCTGCTTCTGTCGTAAAGCAGCTTCATCTGAGAACAAAAAAGTTGCAGAAAACCGTGAATTATTCTGTGTGGCATCCAATGTACAAACTCTGTAAGGGAGAAGTCAGCAGTGCCTAGAAGTTGGATCTTCTGCATGTGGAAGACGTACATGCTGTTTACACGCAGAACACACCATTTTATGCAGCCGAACGATTGGTTGCAGCTGAACACCCAGTTTGGCTGCATAGAATGGTACGTGTTTTCTGTGTGCAGAAAACATGTACCTCTTTTACATGCAGAAGGTCCAGCTGCTGCAACCAATTGTGCACTGGTTCACTATGAAACGAAAAACCATTGCAGTACTCAGTTTTCTGTTTCAGTTGTGTGCACGTTGCATTCTGGCCATGTATTATGCCTCGTTATATGGAAGGATCTCATCTCTCGCACCCATCAATTGATGTTCACAACGCCTCCTTCTTAGATGTTGTTCTTAGTACATTCTCTGTGCCAGGCATCCATTGCCACCTACTAAGCTTCAAATCAGATGCATATCCACATATTCCTCATTTGTGTAATCTGACATGTTGTTTTCAAATGAAGTTTAATACTCACTAATTCTGCAGTGCCGACTGCTTTCCAGCTGCATTGGAAATATGCATACAAAAGGTTTCTTCTTATTACAGTGCTCCTAATCCATGCATTTATTTGCCCACTTTCTATGTCAGCGTTCACTGTCCTCTTGACGTCAATTTTTTCTCAAAAATTTTGTGACCTTATGTTCTATGGTAATTTTTCATCTCTTGATGCCTGCTATCATCCCTCTGGATCTGTCAGTTGAATTCGGAAACACCCTGTATGTTCTATCACTGTAATGTTGGAATAAAAATCACTTACTTAGTAATGGATTCTTTGTTTGCATGTCTACTTTCAACACAGTCTTCTTTCTTCTTCATGGAGGTGCATTTTCTTTGTCAGGTACTGTATATTTGAAGAGAATGTTGCCACAGCCATGCCCAGCTATCCTGACAACAGCCTGCAATATAATCATGTTTATGGCATGAAAACTAATACAGGTGACTTGAGCCTAATTATGTGAATGATAATTAAGCTTTGAATATACCTAAAAGTCTTGATAATTATCTTATATTGTTTAGAATAAAAATAACAATGACCATATCTTACAAGCGTGCTTTATTTTACAAAATATAATTATACAAAAGGATCATGTTTCATATCATGTCAGCTTCTGGATGTTGCTTGTGAGCTAAATACAAGAAGCCTATACTTGATAAAGCACTAACCAAAAATATCACATCGAACCATCGATGATAGAAGTTAAACTGCAAATCTCCAAGAACTTGAGTAATTATGGACCTGTTAGGAAAAAATTAAATATTTGAAGTGGTGTGTTGCAAGTTAATTTTTAGTGGTTATTTCTATTTTCCATATAATTACAATAATTTCTAATAGTTTTTCAACTACAGTAAATTCAACACTTAAAAAGATGCGAGCCTCACACATTGATGTTTGCCTCCTCGGGGAATGTTGAGCATACAAACACTGTGCGGCTTGTAAATTGCAATCAGCAGCCCTGTATGCCAGATGAATATCAGCAAGCCCAGCAGTTGTGTAGCGTTCCATTGAACTGCCACTCGGTTGGCTGGATAGTATGTTTACTATCTGTATAGTTTATATAGTGCAGTTTAATATTTATGTATTCATATTTAATATCTGTGCAATAGTATATATTTCTTTCATCATTTATCGTATTTGTATATCTGTGTTAGTATCTCTATATCTGCGTAATGTCTTGCTTTAGTATTTGGAATATGTGTCTGTGTAGCAATGTGTAAAATGTTATAGTCTAATATCTTCATCAGCATATGTAGCATCTTAATAAACTCTGGATGCATTCCTTGTGGGTGCTGGAGGTGTTGCGCTAAATATTTGCTTGATCCAGACAATACCCGATTAGTCACTGATTAGTCAAGATTGAAAAGAGCAGTATCTAAAGTTTTATGTCATGTAGGTTTAGTACTGATCATGCAGTGGACGAGAGGGGAGCGTGCGTTCTCCGTGGAATCTTACTTTTCAACATACTGTATTTTCATCCATATAAATTGGCAGTGGTGCAAAAACTTAATCCACATGATTTTCTTTGACAGAAAAATGTATGCAAAGCCGTTCTTGACAATACGCCTCATGATGCCCTTGTGTTCTTTAGTGATGAGGATCATTTTCGTCTTTCCAGTTGCAGCATGCATTAAACAAAACATGCGATAATGGAGTGGAACGAATCCCCGAGAATTTCATGAGCAGCTCCTCCGTACAGAACGTGTGACTGTTTGGTGTGCATTGTCTAGAATAGGCATGATTTTTTGGTAGAACATTTCCCTGAACGCCTTATCTCTGGCGCTCGTCTGATTTAGCCCCTCCCTTTTTTTTGTGGGTCTATCTTAAATTTCTAATGGCCAAAGAACCTGGCTCAACTGAAGAACAATATTCAAGCTGCTATCGACAACATACTGTTGATATGCTGGTAAAAGTGGAAAGAAACTTCAAAACTCGACTATCTCAATGCATTGACCAGAACGGAGGCCACCTAATGATATTATTTTTAAACCATAATAAAGAAAACTTAAAGTGTCTCTCTATAGCTTGGAAAAAAATTAAATTGATATTGCTTATACTATTTGTGTTATTCATTTTAAAAATATGGTAGTTTCCCTGCCGCACCCTGTACTAAAATGAGGACAGAATTAAACTGGTTTACTTAAATTATGCCAAAGCAGAGGGCTATCAGCTTTATAGCAGGTTTGCTTTTCAAGGAAGATTTTGTAAGGGAGGGAAACTAGCTGATATTCATGTTACACATGGGGCTCCAATGCACTCAGCCCATTTGCTGGGATTTAAATTCAGGTTAAACTACTGGTATTCCGTGAATTTACCGTTGGATGCTGGTTGGCTCTAATGATGATGAGATCCAATTTCTAAGTAAAAAAGAAACTGGACTAACTTAAATTAATTGCAGTTTTATGACATTACTCAGATTGGAAGATCTTGAAAATGAAGGAAAATATATATCACAAGTAATTTGTCCTTATGCAGTTAAAGAAAAAAATTACTGCCTTTGACTGTACAAAAATTACTTTTTCTATTTCTGTAGATATTTAAGAAACATAAAAATAAAATATAAACACTTTTTAAATTGTATGATTTTAGTTAAATACATTAAAAGTAAGATAATTTCTTTAGTTATCATAATATTATTGGTCGTATGCAATTAAAGATAAAATCAGAGCTATAAAACTATATTGGGACGTTAACAGAATTTCGAAAAACAGTAAAAATGATAGTATAGGAATGACGCATATAAGAATGATTCTATTCAAAATTACCTTCAACAGTTTTGATTTAAAATCAGCCATTATTAAGAGTGCCACAGTGATAGTTTAAACTAATAAATAAAAAAAGAATTTTTTTAAAAAAACATTTTAATGTTTTTGATTAAAATCAAGCAGTTTAAAATTCCATTTTATATATTTTATTCCCAAAGAATTAGCTTAACAGTTAGCCAAATGAAGAGGGATCTAAAGCTATCTCCACAGTTATAGTAAGCAAGGGTTGATACAGGACTGATACAACACAATGACACATATAAAAAATTAAGGACTGTTTAGTGATATTCATTCATGGAATACAAAAAGGAACGTAGTTCACCACTTAATCATGCTTCAATAACAGATTAAAAAATCAAACTTACCTATATTCTGATGGCATATTCATTCGCATTAACAGCACAGATGATACAAAATACATACCCTGAGTAAAGAAAGAAGAGATATTAAATAAAAATTAATATAACTTTTCATAGTCTGCCATCTTCTCCGGCTATTTGAAGAAGTCGCAACACAATTCTAATTATTTAAACAATGCATATACTCTCATGAAATCATGTTAATCACAAAATACTTGATTTAATATTGCATTAGAGGAAATACCATCTAAATTACCGTGTTTACTCACATAATAGCCCCTGTTTTGAAGCAGAAAAAATCATCAAAAGTGCACAATATTGTGTAGTAGATTGCCCTGTATAATATTCGCACCTAGACTTTCACAATGAAAAAAACTGGCCAAAATAGTACGAGTAAACACAGTACTATTTATTTTGATATCGGAAACATGTTAAAAGAAGTTGTTCCAAAAATTTTGAACTTCATTACATTATTTTGCTATACTAGTTGGCAATTATTAACATTGTGCAATAGATAAGATCTTCAATTGCCTTCTTACATGGTCTCATGCATAGCCAGTTTTGAGAATGCTGTCATTTGATAAAGTATAAATCTTTTACTTTTCAAGCCTTATCAATCGTTAATTTTTTTAACAAATCAAGTGAATTCGAAGCAGTAAATGCATTTCTTATTAATTTAAATACTAATTTTGTTTTGAATAATATGCCTAACTGAGGTAATTTGAAAGATCATTAAAATTTACAATATATTTATAATTTTATGAACATCTGCAGTATTATTTAACAGTTTTGCTGCTCCTGGTAACACTTTTTAAAAATTTCATCATCTGATTTAAATGAACACAGAAATTCCAGTATAAAATATAAATCACTTAATTTGATTAAAGTATACTAACTTAATCCATAAAAGAGTGAAAAGAAATTATATACATAATTGATTTTTAACATTTTAAGAAATTGGCATATATATTCAACATTAAATGTGTATGCTAATAAATATAGTTTAGTTAAGATTTATGAAAAATAAAACATTTACTCACCATAATTTGTGCCAATGCCAAAACGATAACATTTGATGATTTACTGCTCGATATGGCATAAAAGAACTGTAATTTAAAAATTAACTATCATTTTCTATACATTTCATACTAATGTAATGAAAATCATCATCAAAATTAATATAAATTACCTTAGTTAAAGTGATTAATAGACCTCTGATGGAAGTTACAACTATTACACCTACCAGAATGAAAGATATGTGTTGAGACCAAAATTTTACCTGCAAAAAATTCGTATAAAATTTTAAATGCTTTAAAATACTACTTTACGCATCAAATAAAAAACAATTTTATAACTATCAATAAACAATTCTTGAAACAGCAAGCAATAACTTACATCAAAATTGATACCCATGTAATTCACAGCAATTTCAATACCTCGTGTGACAGGATCAACTTTGCCAACCCGGTCGAAAAGAATATTAAATGTACACTGTAATTAATAGAAAAATAATTACTTAAAAATATATATCTTTTTAAAATTTCAAATATAAAATCTTATAATAGAAATTAAAGATATTTATTACAGATTTGCAAACTGAAATCCTAAATTAACATTATGCTGGTAAAAACTTAATTTTTAAGCTCTCAAGTTGTTTGAAAATTTATCAGATAATATCAAATATATTAATTTTGTTTTAAATTATTTTTAATCACAAATTTGTAATCAACATTTAATACAAAATATAGATTAAAACTTTTCATATCTGTTTTCTCTAAATTCAAAAATCATTCTGAAAATTAAAATTCAATAACCTATTCCAAAATATGTGGAAAGAATATTCTCGTATGTATCATCTTATTATAACAGCCTTTTCATTAAGAACTACTGTGAAAACACTATAACATGCTGCAATTAATTTCCTAATATTAACTGTATCCCTCCCCCCCAAAAAAAAACAAGATTAAATTTCTTGATGTACAATTTGATTAATGAATAATTTGTAATTCATGCTACATCTCATCACTAATTATTCCATTTCAGAAAATTAGGTATAACTAAGAAATGAATAGTGCAAATATTAAATATTAAATAAAATAGAGATTGTTAAATATCCAAAAATATTTCATTGAGCTCATCAATTTAAGTATTTTTTAATTTCTGATGCAAAAATCTTACATACTATGAAAATTTTCCACATACAGTATAAGGAAAAGAAGTATCCTAAACAATTGAAATATTTTCCTTTTAAAGTTTTGGACCACTCAATTCGTTCCTAGAAAGAAAGAAAAGAAAAATATTAGAGCCACCAACAAAATTTATATTAAAAACTGCAATCAACAAACTATATTCCAGTTTTAATATAAGAAGTCACAGCATGTAACAGGGATAACTTCAAAATGCACCATAGCATTAAAACATATTCAAGAGCCGCAACAATAATTTTACATCTTTAAAAGTAAGAAAATGTTTAAGGCAAATAATAAGTATTTTGCATAATTCAATTATTGCGGCTAATATCATAACATAATTAAATAGTAACTACTGATTTTGATAATTATTCAAGAAAATACATTCTTACGGTATACAAATACTAAACTTTTCCACAGTACACTGAAGACACTTTTTTTAACACAGCTAGAAAACAAACATTTTCTACTGGTTTTCAAAAAAATGTTTTTGTTATAATTGCCATTTGAATTTAATAGGAGCGAACTGGAAATGAAAGTGACTTTTAGTAATTTAAAAAGGTTTTTGTTCAAGTGAAAAATAATTCTGTTATTTGGGGGAGGAAACTAGCAATTTTAATTTATTTTTAACCCATATGCACTCCTCTGAAAAGATTATAACAGGTTATATGCAACATCCATATAATACCGTAATCAAATATGAAGTTCTAAAATAAGTTCTGAACTAATTGGTTTTTTGCATAAATAATTAATATTTTCCTTGAAATAAATGCCAGGATCAATAAATGAAGATCAAATTTAGATTTAAATCGCACAATGACAGTTTGCTATCTTAGAATCCCCATAAAGAAATTTTTCAAAAGCATTCAGCAGCAAATTATGCTCACGTAAGTAGGCAGAAAATATGTATTCTGTTTTAACCGCTTGCCTGATTATCCCGAGTTATCTCGGGTTAATATATATTGCAGTTATTATCCAGTGAAAACTCAGACGAAGCAGAATTTGTTAGTTCGATTTCCTTTTTGCTGGTTTTACTCGGCTTGAAGGAAATATTCAGCTTTGATTGGCAGTTTGCCAACTTTTCTTTGTTGTGCGGTTCTTTTGGAGGGATTGGTCAGGTCGGCTTGTGGATTAGTAATGTATAAAGAAGGATTCGTGCGTTGAAAAAAAATAAAATAATGGCGATGATGCAAGATAGCGAAAGAGAAGATTTTTCAGATAGTGATTATGAAAAGGTGGGGGGGAATCAAATCCAAGGAGACAGTGTACTCTGTACTTCTGTGAAAGAGATTCCAGTGGTAAGCCAGTAAGAAAAGAGACCAGATACCAGTGTAGAATGTCAGGTATCACTTTGTGTTGTCCCTTATTTCAAAAACTATCATACAAAGACTAATATTTAACTTTTTTTCATTTGTCCAAGATAACTCAGGATAGTAAACTAATATTAAAACTAAATGCTTTTACACCTTCAAAAAATTAAAAAAAATCAACTTAAAACCTACATATTTTGATTTGTTTTGTTTCTCTGTATTTAATAATAAAATAAAAAAATGTGATGAATTTTTGCAATTTTTTTCAAAAAAAATTGTAAGGGAAGCGGTTAATAATGTCATAGGCCTTTGTTTCCCCAGAAAAAGTTAATTTTTCAATACAATTTACATTATTTTTGTGTAAGCACATGTTTTTCTAGTAAATCTCCCCTTCTACCATGCAAAATAAAAAAATCAAAATAACAATTGGTACATACCACAAATGTGATATACGTTTTTGTGATGAAATAATGCAAGAAAATTCCCCTGTGTATTTTTTTAAAGCACATGGATATATTACTTTTTTGGCTGAGAAATTAAGATAAAAAATTATCAAAACTTTTGGGTATAAATTTAGTACAACATTATTTTCATAAATGTTCAAATGCAGGTGATAGTCATCAACCCTGAGTACAATTTAAAAACAACTTTCCACAAGAATTAACAGTATGTTTAACATTCAAAATTTCACCTTTAGAAAACCTCTTCTAAAGTAAAAAATTCAAATGAAGCAGTGATAGAAAGATAAAACATATTCTGTTTTCAGAAATGCAGAGGATTGTTTTTATTTTGCTTTGTTTTTATTGGCTGATGTGTGCTAAAAGACTTGCAGCTGCATTTGATGCTCATTGAAGAACTGAATCATGATGCTTTCAGACACTCCCCCTCACATAGCAATTGTGGTTAATGAAGCTTTTCGTTTTTTTTTTATATTTTTTTATTTTTATTTATTTATTTATTTTTTTAAATACATAATCAAAAGAAAGAGCAAACAATTTCAGAGTGAGAAATTGTACTTTTGGGTGAAAATAATTATTATTAATTGATATTAAAAACAAGTTTTAGGAATATCAGAAAACTGGGAAGAATTCCTTATAAATATCGGCAACTCGATTTATAACGTATATCTCTTGGAGCACGGTTAAAAATCAGGAGAGTTGGCAAGCTTACCACCAACATTTGAACAAAGACTCATTTTAAAACAGGTAAAATGCCTCTAAACGCTTTACACATATAAAAAAATTCATTCTTTCTCTCCTTTTATATGGAAGTAGAAGTCTACAGAAGTAGAATTAAGGAATGACACTTTTTTTTTTAACAGTTATTTTTACAAATAGCACCTACTCAGTATTACAGCAGAAAGTTAGATATCAATTTTTTTTAATATGGATTTACAAAATTCTTTAACCCTCCGAGTGTTACGCGTTGCCCTGAAATTTCAAAGTGTCTTAAAATGTCATGAATAAGGGGTATTTTCTTGATTTTAATTAAAAAATGAATCTCTTATTTTGTACCTTGATTCCTTTTCTTCCAATATACATCCAAACCAAAATCAAATACATTAAAAGCTAGCAGAAATTTTAATTTGTAATGAACATAGAAGGCAGCCTTCTATATGGAATTTTCCGGCTATAAAGCTGAGAGGGTTAAAAGTATACATATGCTTTTAAATATAGATCATTTATGAAACTGAATTGGATTAAGATCTCAGGAATGTTTCATGATTTTAAATAATTATAACCTGCTTTTAAAATCATTATCTTCACTTGTTTCCTATATACTTATTTCCGCTTCTGAACTTATGGATATTTCAAACCAGTTTAGTAGATCAGGGTTATTTGGATTATCATAAAATACACATAAGCTATTTGTCTAAGGGAAAGACTTTTTAGAAAAACTGTTTTGTGTCCATGCAACACAAGTAGAAAACCCATGAACATACTGCAATATAGCCAGGTCATTCACTCTGAGCCCGGGCCAAACTACCAGTATACAGTGATTTTTATCACTTGACTGCTAGTGAACAACAGAATTCTGAATCTGGATTTCTTATAGACATTATTTTTCCTGAATTCACTTTATTAGTTAATAAGAATTAATCAAACATCTGTTGCATCCTTAATTCAATAGTAAAATTACTATGAAAATGTAGAATGAGAAAAACCAAGATGTAAACCAGTATTCTCCTTATTTATGAACTAAATACAGGATTGCCACTCAAACACGAGAATGAAATTCCCTGACTTTTCCAGGTTTTCCAGTTGTGTTTCAAGAAAATTCCAGGGTATCTGCATAGTGCATGTTGGCTTTGCTGAGCACAAATTAATTATGGTACCACTTGAAAACACAAAAATTTGCCAGTTACATATGACTTTATATAATATATATCCCCAAATAGGAGTTGTTTCCTCCTCTGAGGATTGAGATTAGAATCTGCCCAATCGAGATTTTAAAATGTCTTTGCTGCAGACATTTTTCAGCTAAAGAAAGAAGTCTATTTAATGATGTTTTTATTTATTTAGCAGCATATATAAGTAAAAAATTGTGCATTAAATTTCATGATGGTACATCATATTACTGCTAGAATTAGTTTCACAAGTATGCCAGAGAAAACTGCCTGAACTTTAAAAGTATTACTAACTAATAATAAATAAATTCAGAAGGAAGAAGTTACTTATGAATAACATTAATATAAAGTTCACTACATTAAGGATCAAAAACTGAATGACAAAAATCGATGGTATTTTGGTGAATATATACAGTGAATGGTTAGCCCAGATGATTGATTATAATTTTTATTTATTTATTTTACTGCAAAATAACAAATAAGGCATTTAAGAAAGAAGAAAAAGGTTTAAAAGATTTTGTTTCATATGAGAATGGGGAGAATTTACTTTCGTTCAACGTGCACTGCACATATGAATATCTGGAGTTTCGAGGTTACTGGAAACCAATGATGCTGGAAACTTGCTTTGTCTTTCTAAAAGACAATCTGATTGGCTCTGAGAAACCCAGCTCCACGCCAGCTGTTCGAATGATGTTCACATGATACATGGCTCGCCAAGAAAGAGCGACGTTGGGGCAAAAATCGCTTTTTTGGGGAATGCAAGATGAAATTCCCCGACTTTTCCAGATTTTGACTAAAATATTTAAATTTTCTGATTTTCCCCTGACATTTTGGCCAATTTTTGAATTCCCTGACTTTTTCCGGTTTTCCAGGTAGTGTGGCAACCGTGTAAATATAATGCAATTTACACTCACTGAAATAAGTTTCTATGACTTAGTTCTCCAAATATTATTTGAAGAGGACTGGATTATTTCCAAGAATAAGGTTAACCTCGCTCTGAGCACACTGGGTCAATCTGTTTTGCAAAGAGGGCTTGACTACATCCTATTAGGAGCATCATTTTGGCAAGTTGAGCTTATTTATCTTATCATAGCTTATTTCAGATGCAAACTAGGCGCACTCATAACCGTCAATAATTATAAGAAGAATAACTAGCTACAGCCATGCATTTATGCACATAATATACCAAACAAATGGTGACAGAGTGAGCACCAGCATTTCTTGAATATGCTTCTTCCCCTTGCTGCTTGGTTATCTCGTATTTTCAAATTAGCACACAATGGCAATACAAGGTAACTGGATCATTTACATATATGCGACTTTGATCTCTTCAACAAACTAGAAGAGCCATAAAGAAGAGGGTACTAGAATTCTTATCTTAACATCACCAAAATTAGCTCTGGTGACAACCAACACTTTTTAGATGTGAGGTATAAATATACTGAATATATTCTGTACGTATTGCTGACACTGTGCTAAAAATATCCAACTTTATTTAGTTAGTTATTTTTAACTTTAAATTACATGCATTTTAAGGTTAATTTCTGATGATTTAGACTATACTACAAGAATGAGAAGTGTTTCTTAAAATACATATTCAGGAATTACTATGCTAAAGTCAAAACTCAACTTTTCTCAAAATCAAAACAATAAGTTATGTGACGATTTTACGAATGCTGTTCTTGAAAGATTAATTTTGCAGATTAGTGCTTCTGGAAGCAAACTGGTATTACATTAAAATATTTTTTAAATATTTTATATCTAATCTTTGAACTAGTTTTTGCCCCCAGTTTTAATACAAGTACCAAAAACAAGAAGATCTATCATCTTATGTTTCATCGAAAGTTATTGTTTCGTTAAAATTTATCGGGGGGGGGAGGAAACCTAGTAGTTTTAGAAAATATTACTGCAGTAAAAGATTGCAACAAAAAACATCTTATATACAGAACACTGACATTGATGCATGTTATAAAACTGAGTACTTTGTATGAAACAAGAGAAATGAAATACACATTTTATAAGAGTAAGAATTACTGCACAAAATCAACAGCAATGACAAGACAAAAATGAGTAACAATTCTTCATTAAAATAAATAAATAATAGTAATGAAACTAAACACTTTTTAATGCCACTTAAAAAAATAAATTTTTAAATTTCTCTTTTTTTAGACAATTATGATAGAAATTAACGTACCTGCATATTATGAACATCTACAGCTTCCAAAAAAAGCTGTCTATTAAGTTCCTCTAAAGCCTTCACATCTTGCTTTAGCTGGTTGATATCTGCAATTTTACAAGAAATTTTATGACAAAAAGTCTTTCTCCAATTCAATCAAGTCAAAAAAATATGAGGCAGAAAGATAGAGAATACTTTCAACAGATGTGCTGGATGAAGTTGTGACACTCTTCAACATTCCCCACAAGCCAGATGCTGCATGTGAAATAGCTGTATGCTGTTGTTTTTCTTTTTCATGTAAGGCTATTCTATCATAAAAAATAATATTGTTGAATTAGTCTAATATCATTTACTTAAATTATTCTCCCAAGGCTTTTAACAATATTCAAGGGATTAAGAATAAATTCAGGAAGCAGTTACAAAAAAAAAAAAAAAAAAAAAAAAAAAAAAAATTTGCTCATTTGGTAAATAATGTTTCCACACTGGTAAAACACCACAAGCATTATGCAATTTATAGTTGGTCCTGCAAATATATTTATTAAATTCAGGGTCCCCGACAATGAATGGTGAGATTTTATGAAATCTCTGGGAAGTAGATTGAAAGTGTGTAACATATTATCTGCAGTGTTTTTATTATTGATTATCAATGGGCAATAAACACTATAAAATTCAATTTTGCATCCAATCAAACAAGACAAGGAGTGTAAATTATATATATCTGAACTATGCTGTTATGATACTAGATTCCAGACCAGAACCAGAATTTTTAAAAATTTCTTCATGAATGGGTCAGATGCCACGTAAAGAGTTATGCAAATTGCCGCAATAGCTGACTTTGAATTGAAAATTTTGACTATCTTTTTTCTTAACTGATATTAATATCAACTTTATAGAGTATACTTGAACATTATGCAGAACTCCCTCACACTAAGCAAACAGAAATGGAAGATGCTGAATTGCAGACCTTCTTTCAACAAGATGCAGCACCACACTGCTTTGTAGTGCTGCATCTTGTTGCACCACAAAGCAACAACAAAACTGATAATTGAGTTTGCAAGAAAAACTCAATTGTCAATTTCTAAGACGGTGGATTGGCAGAAATGGATTTAATACCATGGTCCACAAAGAGTTCTGATCTTATCCTATTACAGTTTGTCCTCTGGATTTTCTTGAAAATGAAATTTATAATGAATGAACTGATAATCTTCACAATCTAAAAGAGAAGAATCATACAAACAGATTCAAGCATTATAACAGATAATAATATATAACTCTAATATAATTTTAACTTTATAACAGCAGAATGGGCTGAAAGTGACATCAGACATGCTGTTAATGGTGCATATATTGAAACCAAGCTGGCAACAGGCATTTTGCCGCCCAGTGCCAACCCTTGTTATGTGTCTCAGCTGCTTGACTGCTTAGCAAGTCTTGCAAGAAAGCACGAAAACTGTGGGACATAGTTTGACTTGATGTTGTCTATTGACTTATATTTTATTATAATTATATTTTGACTTGATTTTCACTTGATGATGGAGCAACAAAGGCACACTGAAACTCGCAGCGCAAAAGCGCAGCATCGCGGTTTTCGAGACAAATGAACGGAGCGCTTTTGTGCCGCGTAGCAGTCAAACGGTTAAATTATGCTGATCTGTTGTTCTGATAAACTTTTCCATTATGCACCTGCCACACCTTTTTGGTGTATGGTAGTTGGAGAAATATTGGTCAGAACTTGCCACACCATGTATGTGTGTTTGCCATCTATAAACTATTCTATAACTAGAAATTGTATACCAATAAAAAACTACCAAAACACATGGCAGGTACAGAATGGAAAAGTACCGTCTTAAATATATGCGTGCATTTATTTCCTCCTAACTCAATCCTTAGGTTTCTGTGGAGAATAGACTTATTGTAAAAAAACTTAGAAAGTCAAAATTTAGTGGAACAAAGTGCCTTTAATTGCGAATCTCATGATACATTGCAATAGTGCATAACGAATGCTCTTTAAGTTTCATGATGATAGTCGCAGATTTAAAGGCTTTTGAATATCACAAATAGAAAACAAAACTTTCAAATTAATGGAAATTGTGAAGATATGTGGAGAAGTGGTAATAAATGAATATGATATAACAGAAGTATTCCATTGTGATCACAATGCCCCAATAATCAATCAACTAACTGAAGGCAAAATCTATAGTATGGTTCCAAATCCAGAAAATACCACTAATGATAGTAAAGAAAGTGACAGAAAATTTATAGAATGAAAAAATTTTGATTGAAAATTTTAAGATGAATTTTCGACAGGGTAATTGCAGGACTTGAACAACAGAACTTTGTACCTGAACAAGAAATTATGTCAGTCTAAAAATTTAAAAAGAGAAAGCATTAGCATAAAAAAAGAAATTAAGCAACTGAAACAACTTTTGAGCCTCTTCCCCACTTTTTTCCTTTTCTTTTGTTGTAAAATTTAATTATGTTTGATTTTTTTAAGATCACAAATGGTTTATTATTTCATAAACAACTACTTAACATTTTATATTTTATAATTTCTATATATCATCCTACTAGATTTACATTGATGATCCAGAAAGTTCCAAAACCCAAATCGATATGTCTCGACTCGGACATTGTATTGTATTATACTTCAAACCAAATACAATATAATTAAACATATTGTAAAGATATAAAGATTCTGAATTAAAAAAAAAACTACACCCAAATTTTACAGATACTTTTAATCAAACCCTCTCCCTTCAAAAAAAAAAAAAAAAAAAAAAAAAAAAATTATATAATTTTACAATCCAGTTTTCAAAACTACTTACAAATGTTCACTACTTTTGCAAACTAAATTATAAATTACAACTTGTATCAATCATACAGCCCAAAACTGACAGGTATAATGAGATAGTAATTTAATTACACTGACCTTTTCTTCTTCATTATGATCATATCTAAAGTTTGCATCACTTTCTTTTCTTGCATTTGAATATCTGAAGGAGACACATTCCTAAATATTTAAAAAGTGAAAATGACACCACATTATATTTACTACATTATATTATTTTTAATGTACTTAAGCCATATAAAATTTTATTATCTAACTAAATAACTGCAATAAAACTACTGTTAAAAATACTTCTTGACCAAATAATATTCACAAAATGGTACTAATGGTAATTATGCACACCCTAAATTTTAGTGATTTTTTAATTGAAACTAGTTGCTTTAAAAATAATTGCCTCTATGACAAAAAATCAGGTCTGAATACGGAAATCTAAAACAATGCATTTACAGAAGAGCAGAATGGGAAGGGGTTAATTATTGAAGGATATTTTAATTGAAATCATGATTCTGTCACACAGAAATGACACTGCTTATTTATCATGTAATCATATTTAAGTTAAAAGCATATCATAAAAACTATTACTCTGAATGCTTTAAAAATACAATTTAATGAATGTAAACCTGAGTGGCAACAAACAAGCTTCCTGAGATAAAGTAAAAAAAAAAAAAAAAATGTAATCATTTGCCCATCAGTAAAGAATAGTGCCAGTACCTTTATACAAGTCTTGTTGAATTTTTTAAATATATACTTACTAAACTGTATTTAGAATAATACTGCCGATACAATTCAAAAATAATCTCATATCATTATATGCACTGATATCATTATGCAAATGAATTAGAAGTTCAAAATGAAATATCAGTTTTCATTTAGCCAGAATTACATAAACTAATTTAACAATAAAAAAGATCAAAATGTGTAAAACTGTAAAGTTATGATAATACTAATAACATTTTCTAATTTAGAATCAATATGAAATAAGATGTAATAATAATTATATTTCTTTTCTATAAAATTTTAAATTTAAAGTATTATATCTCAGGCCTTTCTGCAAACTAATTCCATTTTATAAAATTCTATAATTATAAATACAAAATTTTTAATAATTTAAACATTTTAGTCTAATTTATTTAACCAAATAAATCCAGACTACTGAATCAAAAATATTTGCTTTAGTACCTCATGAAATAAGTCATAGACGTGTACGGGTAGTTCACAGCACCAAATCCAGAAAGAAGAGCCATTAAAGTTACGCCAATTACTCCAACCCTACTGATACCTTGTTCAATAGAAAAAATACCTGAAATAACAGAGGATTATAAAAAATATTTTCTTTAAAGTCAATAAAATATGTCAAACATAAAAACTCATATTTAGAAGATTTCTAAAGAAATGGAAAACATAAATGATAATTCATATAATTTTCTTAAGTTTTCAAAGTTATGCATACTTACATTCAGTGCCTATATCCAGAATACATATACAGAACATACGGAAATATGATGACTTCAAAAAATGATCATCGTTTAACAATTACTCTTTATCAAACAATAAATCTTCAACTGATCATGAAACATTTATGACAAACATGCAAGACTTCAAGTGGGCCAAATCTGCCTCAGGACAACATCAATCTAATCAACTCAAAGTCGGACCATGTTGTGGCATGCATTGTAGAAGGAGGGCAGTCTGACATGCTATTGAAGTTTCACTTTATTTGTCTAATTGTACACACTGTATTTGTTTAATAGTCTTTATTTTTGGATCAAATTAATCAACCATCTATATCATTATGTGTATTAAATTTCATTTCCATCTGATGCTCCTTTCTGGGTGCATTATTTTCAGTGTTCTTGAGTGTATGTGCTCATGAAAATTGCCAGCAATGGAAGAATCTGAAGTAAAATTTTTGCAGGAATACAGAATTTTGGGACAAAATCTCTACAGTGAATAACAAGGTGATGCATTTGGTAGATAGCTGGCGTTGCTGTAGTTTATATGAAGTCAAGTCTCGGGAATTCTCTGACTTTTTTCAAGGGAGAACAGATTGCTGTGGACTTGGGAAAAAGAACAGTGAAAAAACAATACAGAAATATCAGGTTTTAATAAAAGTTTCCTACCATCAAAAATATTGTTCAAACAGTTGGTACTGGTGTGTTTAAATGTATTTTGTCAAACGATTTTTGGCATTTGCAGGAAAGAGACTTGCTTTAAAACTTGCTTGTGAAATTTGAAAAAAAAAAAAAAAAAAAAAAAAAAAAAAAAAAAAAATTGTTAACATTATGTACAAGGTCTCTGAAATGGAACTATCACACTACCAGAAGAATCATCATTTACTTCCAGTTCTGTTGCAAAAAGTCAGCTACAGAATGTCACCAAATCATGGGTACAGCTTTAGGTACTAATGTTGTAACATATGACCAAAAGTTCAAAAACAAGGACTATGACATTCAAGAAGCAGAGTGCTTTGGTCAGCCTACTGATGTTGTACTGATATATAAATCTAATATATATCCTAAGTCGTGCTTTTGAGACATGAAAAACGCAATTTGAATTTTGTCAATCGGCACAGTAGAAGGGAAATATAGAACTGTTCCCTATTTTTTTGGCACAATGTACAAGTTCAATCGCTGGGTGCTGCATAAGCTGACTGAAGCAGATAAGAACAGATGTTGTTCGAGCCTGCATTAATCTGGATGAATACCAATGGAAGAACAAAATTCTGTACTGGACTGTCCCTTGTGTTCAAAAGTGGATTTACTTCAACAACACAGGCCGAAAAGGGATTTTGTTTGCACCTGGTGAGCCCATCGGAGTGTTGCAAAGAGCAATTTGACTAACAAAAAGATTATACTTTGTATCTGGCGGGATTGCTATAGTATTATCCAGAAAGAATATCTGGAAAAAGATAAAACCCTCAAAAGTAAGGTGTACAGCAAAATGCTAATTCGTATTCACGCTGCTATCAAGGAAAAACATCAGACCGAGTTCCGCCGCAAACAAATAATGTTCTATCAAGATAATGCAAAACCAGATGTGTCTGTATTCAATGACTGGACTCTGTACAGACTTAAATAGGGTCTTTGGCCGCATCTACCATATAACCCTGATATCGCTCCTTTGGACTTCTACTTTTTTTCACACATGCAGCTACATGTTGCTGTTGCTCTCTTCCATTCTGCACAGGATGTCCGAAATGAAGTTAATCTGTTTATGGACTCATGGCCACCAAGTTTCTAGGCTGAAGGCTTTGAAGAACTATCAAAATGTTGGCAGAAAATTATAGATTTGGGTGATGATTACTACCCGCACTAAAGGTATATTATTTATTTATTTATTTTTTCCTAACTTTACTAAGAACATTTTTCATCATGTAATCCTTATTTACTAATTAAACAAGCGTTGTACATCCTTATTTAATAATTAAACAAGGCCTTTTTTATTTTAAATTGCTAAAGTGTGCTTTATTTTCATATGTTGATAATGTCTGCCGACTGATGATAAACATTGATAGTTTGGGAGTCTTTCTAAGAAAAATTCACAAAAACCACCAACCACCTTGCACTCTAAGTAATTTCTACCTTTTCATTTTCACCTTAGTGCAAGCTGACCTCTTTTTTTTTTTTTTTTTTTTTTTTTGAAAAAAATTATCAGCTTGCACTAAGGTGGTTGCATTAATATATAAGCAAAATGTCTATCATGTTAGTTGCCAAAATTGGCAATAAACCCAATTTCTAACACACAAATTTCAAATGTTGCCAAAGGAATATGTGATGACTACGTCAACAAGAATCTAATTTTTAAAGAATTATACAAGATACAGCTGAAGTTTACATAACAACATACTTTAATTTATTACTTTATTATACTATCATACCTCAAATATAGATATAAAAATTTAAATACTGAATTTATGACAGATGAAAATCATTACACTGGATAAGAGATTTGGAAAAACAGGTATGCCATTTTTTTTCCTTTTAAAACATAAAGTGGTTTTTTTCAATTACTGCAGATTTAAATAATTTCTGGCATCAGAATTCTAAAGGAAGGGGAAAGGGGTATAATTTAAGAGATTCTCTAAGAATAAACATCTCATATGGTACTTAATGTCAAAGAAAGCACAAAAGCCGCTGTGCAACTGAAAACAGAGACCATGAACTTAAATCCTCAAAAATCATACAACATCAGTAAGTTATAAAAGATATTTAAATACTTAAGTTCTTACACCATTATACAAAATAAACTTCATATTACTCACCATGCTTGGGACTTAAAATAGGAAAGGGATCGCCTATTTTCCAGAACAAGTACATAAAACCCAGCCAAGAAGCTATGGTTAATGGTTTGATCAACTGTCTCTGAACTAAGAATAAAAAAATATTCCACATTAAAAAATAGCACTTTTCTTCTCTCAATAAAAATATTTTATATACATTATTTTCATAAAATACTAAATTGATTAAATATAATTAAATGTTATTTTAATAGATTTAACAAAAACACTCTCATAAAAGATCTGGTACTTTTCCGTTTTGCCGGCGCAAACGATAAAGTCGCCAATAATGGTACAATGCCAACGGAATATCCTCGCTGGTAATCTTTACGCTTCATTTTCAAAACAAGTCGCAGCCATTTCTTATCAGATTGATTGTTTCTTTATATACTGGTACACAATTACATAGAACTTTTACAAGATAGTTTGATTTTATATCCTAAGGCCATTCACAGTAATTAAGTCAATTAGGATGCAATCACACCGCTCACCCGAAGGCCAAAATATAGAAAAGGCAAAATCAAGGATTAAATTCATCAATTTTAATGAGAATGCACTAGCAAAGTAAAGCACGGCTATTTTACATAATTTTTGAGTAAGCTATTCGTACGAATTAAAATAATTCTCGCATTTAAACTTGTATTCCAAATTAAGATTTAACTTGAAATTAATGTAGATAATTATTGAAAAAAATTAAAATTTTTGTAGCGTAGTTTACGTGAGATGAGATCACTTGGGGTCACATGATACGAACCGGCGCATCAGGATGTTGAACCATGAAAGCATAGTAAATTCTTAAATTAATGTCTTTTTACAAATTTATTGTCTTTATTTATTGGCTTTTTACAAAATCTTAAACGATATTAAAATGCTTATGCCTTCAAAATAAAAAATCTTATAACTAACATTTGTTAGCATTTTTTATGTGTATACTGTATATTGTCGCCAATAAAGTTTGTTTGACGAGACTTGCGCCGGCGAAACGGAAAAGTACCAAAGATCTTAATAATTAAAGAAAAGTTTAGCTGTCTAGCACTCGCAGTAAATCAGATGCATTTTTACTACATGTAACTAATAACACTAATCTGAGTTAATTTTTTATGATTCTTAATTATGCTTTGGAATTCACTTGTCACATTCACGTTATCTTTATGCACAGCGAGATAGCATTCACATTGCATTCTGAGTTGCAGAGTATACCGGATATCATGCATCAGTGGGCCCCCAAAATGCAGGAATTTTTTGCTAATGGCTGCTTAAAGATGCTGAGTTAACAGGAATCAGTTGAATTATCGATCAATCAAAATTATTGGTGATTCTTGTAGCTCAACATCTCTAAAATTGTTATTCAATACGTTATTTCTACTTTAATGAGCTGTTATTTTGTTTGTTTGCTCAACATGGACAGGTGGAGTGCTGAGCCTTACGCTTTTCCTGTTAAAATTGATTTCTAGAAAATGATTCTACAATTTCTAATGGGGTAACTCAAACAAAAAGTTTCCTAAACATGTGCTTATTGAGAAACTGCATCATCAGATATGCTGTCATCAATATTCCTGGCAATATGTTATGACAATTAATGGATATTTTCTGTGTTACTATGAAGAATACACACTCTAGCTAGTCCTTTATTTAACAAAGGTCACAGTCGAACATTGCATAAAAAATAACATTCTTGCAACTACTACTTTACATAGAGAACAATTAATAAACAGCAGCTATTCACATATGACAAGCCTACCAGTGGCCGAGCAGTAAAGTTGCTGAACACTGGTAGTTCGGTCCGAGGTTCGAATCTTGTTATCTCTATCTACACTCATGTCCCTAAATTAAGGATAATTCGGAGTCACGTGGAAATCGAACTCTAAAATAAATATATCACCTGTAAAATCACTACACACATCTTCAAGAATCATATGCAAATTTCAGGAAGTAACCAGATGACACCGATGGTACGTCACAATGACGAGAGTGATATATAAGGAATACAGGCAAAGAAGTAAAATTGTTCGCAGGCACTTTATAAGCATTTCAGTGCAATAACCGAATATTTATGACACAGAGAACACATTTGGATGATCTTTTACATGGTAGAATTATCGGCTGTCTGGAATGTGGGCGTACCCAAATGGAAGTATCAGACGAACTTGGAATTGCCCAGAGTGTCATCTATAGGCTTTGGCAATGATTCCAAGATGATAGTTATGTGAGCATACGTTACAGCTCTCTTCAGCCACTGGTACGACAATTTCAAGGCAGACCGTGTACAGATGCTTAGAGCAGATTGGTCTATATGCTCGTAGACCTGTCAGATACGTTCCACTTACTGCAACTCACTGTTGCCTGCGATTAGCCTGGAGTAGAGAGCCTGCATTGTGGACACCGCAACAGTGGGCTTGTGTGATGTTTTCCGACGAGTCCAGGTTTAGCTTGCAGTCTGATTCTCGACGGACTTTCATATGGAGAGCTCCAGGTACCCGTTACCACCAAGAAAACATCATTGAACGGCACCGTTACGGTGGTGCGGGAGTGCTCGTTTGGGGTAGAAGTTTATTCTGCGTTCCAGAACTGACCTGCATGTTCAACTTGGAACCATGACAAGCCAAATCTATCGGGACGTCATTCTGAAACAACATGTACGTTTGTTTCAGGGTGCAAAATTTGTGTTTATGTATTACAACGCCCGTCCTCATCGTGCAAACATCGTAAGCGAATGCCTTCAATCGGAGGAAATTACCCGTATGGACTGACCAGCATTCTCACCGGACTTGAATCCAGTAGAGCACGTGTGGGTCATGCTTGGCTGATGAGTTGCAGGCGGTCAACCTCCTCCTACATGTCTACCGGAACTTCGGAGAGCATTGATTTTTGAGTGGTGCAATATCCCCCAAGATCAGATCGATAATTTGATACTCAGCATGCCTAGGCATTGTACGGACTGTATTGCATCGTCTGGGAGACATACAATGTATTAACAATCATACCAACCATGTAATATTGTTTTTTTTTTTTTTTTTTTGTAATTTGCTCCAGGGAGGAAATATCGCTAATTTTTTAAATAATATCAAACATATAGCATCTTTTTTGCTCTTTACCTTTTGTTTAATAAAAGAGCTTTACAAATAAGTCAAATTTGTTTTGCTTCTAAGTCTTCCTTTGCCTGATTTTGCATTATCCTTAATTTATGGACATGAGTGTAATTGGGGGCACAATTGAGCGAAGTCATAACTGTCACCTCTATGGTACTCAAGGCTCTTGTTAACAACAGGCACAATCTTGAACTCCTTACCTCAGTGAATTTCATGGGCTTGTTCTGATGTTACTGTCAGACAAGTGAGATAAATCACAACAATAACATATTAAAGTAGAAAAGTCACAAGAAAGATTAGTACAAACAATAACTAGTAAGAAAATGATACAGGGTTACTTTCAGTCTGTGTAACTGTTCCAATGTTATACTTAGCCGAAACAAATGCTACTGGATTTGACAAATTAAATGAGGTAGAAATAAAAGTGTGAAAAGATAATTTTTCAAAAGTTAATCAAAAAACTCTGTTCAGATATGGATAATTTGGAGTGACTTGATTCCTGAAGACTATAATGATCGAAAGGAGAAAATTAAAATTATTTCTTCCTTTGGAGAAGCTAAAACTGCACCATTAAGGTGTTTCCTATGAGAAACAAGGCCCATCAGTGGCCAAGTGGTAACGTCGCTGAACACTGGTAATTTAGTCCAAGGTTCAAATCCCACAAATGGGCTGGCTGCATGGGCATTTTCGTGGTTTTCCCTATGTGTAACGTGTATACGAGCCAGTTTTCCTTAGAAAGTCCTCCACGAAACCATCTCTTCCTTAAGGCAGATAGCCCTAGTGTGCTTTGCCATAATCTCAATAAACCAAACCAAACCAAATCAATTAATAAATAAAGGTAACACACCAAACTTTAAACTTGCTTTGCCATAATGTAATAAAAAAAACTATCAGAAACAATGACAGGTGCCATGGTGAAATGCTAATAGCTTGTGTAATGTCTAAAAGACTAGTGAGCGATAAGCTGATATTTAACACCATGTATGAAGCATTGCCAGAAAACAAATTTAAATGGCTCATTTTACAGCACACATGAACAGTTCCTTACACACGTACAGAAAACAAATGGAAATTCCGAATGTTAGGTGAAACATGACAGTGTGAGAAAGAATAAGCAGTGAGACCATGCAGAATATGACAGATAATAGCGATCAAAGACTGAATGTGAGATATACTCAGAAACCAGAAAATCTTTTGTTACCTCTAAATGATTACACCCATATTGGATCTCTACAATACTTCATGAAGAAATTGATCAGCATATTAATATATTACTTAAGTTTGAATTAACAGAGCATAACAATAGCAATTAGGCTGTGTTGTATGGAAAAACGAATGGGAATGTAGGATTCTGTTCTGATTTCAAGTTGTTAAATAAATTTGCAATACCAGCTGCATATCTAATGGAAAAAAAAAAAAAAACGATGGAACTGCTCTACAAGATTGGGGAGGCTAAATACATCACTAAATTAGACTTGACAAAGGGATACTGACAGATCTTGATGAGAGAAAAAGGAAATATTTTTACAGTGTTTGTGATGCACTCATGGCATTATCTGTGGAGAGTGTTACCATTCGGAATGAAAAATGCAGGAAGCACAATTAATAAGTAATGAATAAAGCCCCCCCAAAAAATACTGTCACTCATACATTGATGATTTGGTAATTTTTTCCAAAACCAGGAGAAAGCATGTAGATCATGTGAAAGAGATTTTTAAAATATTACGAAGGATTGGTTTTACTTTTAATCCATAAAAATTCCATTTTGGAAAAAGGGAAATCAAATTTTTTGGCTTCATTGTAGATTCTTGAAGCATTCATTAGATCCAGAAAAAGTGGAATCTATGACAAAGATGCCTAGATGAACTACGAAAAAAAGAAGTATGCAACAATTTAGGACTACTACGCCTGTGATTACACTCTGAATTTTTCCCCTTTAGTATTCCAATCAACAAATTTCAATCAGAAAGTAGCCACTAATATTTTATGGGGCAATCAAGAAATTAAAGCAACATCTTTTTGATATGCTATCACCTTTCACACCAACAGTGCCAATCCTATACCATTGGCCATCCATGTTCAAACTAAAATTGGCCACCCTTTTTTACAGAAATATAATATTTTTGATAATCATTTCACCACTAAAGCATTTTGCAGTGATATTGACAGTTCAAAGATACATATTGCCTCTGTAAAGGAAAAAGCTCTGGATGACCAGCATTGCAATTGAAAGAGTGGAGAGGATTCTAGAGGCATTGTTTTTTGTAACCCAAAGAAATCTACATATTGTGAAAGTTACAAACTGGGCACTCCTCAGCCAAATATGTGGAAGATCTGCACAAACGATTACATCAGAAATCATATCACATACAGCTGCTGCAACATTTAAGGCCAAGTGATTGCACCATCACACGTAAATTTTGTGAACTTTGTCAGAAAGCAATAGAAGATGACGAATTTACCCTGTGCCCCGACTCAAGTTCAGTTCAAAAAAACAATGTTCCACCTAAACAGTCAAGAGAATAACCATAACATCTGCAAATGGGAAATGGCAATTCCTAATGCTAGAGTGTCGACTGAAAGAGATTCTCCAAAAGTGAATGTCTTCTGTGCTGTTTCATGTAGCAAAGTGCAGAGGCCTTACTGTTTTCCTGGAAAACTGTGAGGGCACATGTTGTAAGACTGGTTGTTTTCTAAAGAGATAGCTGATATACCAAACTTCATATTCTAGAAAGACAGAGCTATGTTTCATAAGCATACAGAGTGCATCAATGTCTGAACAAGGAACCTTTCAAATTGGTGGACAAGGTGCAGTGCACAGGATGATTTGGCACTCTTCAGGTGGCCCCCAAGGTCTCTGGACCATAAATATAAGCTTTATTTTTCTTTTGAGGATATGTGAAAGATAATGTTTAGGTACCACCTTTGCCGACAACATTGACTGTACTCCAGAATTACATCACTGCTTATCAGTCAAACTTGACAATCACATAAATGTTTGTTGTGTAATATACAGACAGAAAACTTGAAAATGTGCTTTTTAATACAATGTATCATTCACAATTTTTTATGTAATACTTCGTGAAATACATTTATACAAAACCTGATGAATCATTAAAATAAACCTTTACTTTACGGGAATGACACTCTGGTTTCAGGTGAGAAGGGCAGGGAGAGTGAGGTAGATAAAGTTGAGAATCACCTTGAACAGATTAGTGCCACCAGAAAAATATGATTAGAAAAGCATACTTTTATGATCATATACCAATCCATCTTAGCTCGGAAGAAAAAACTTGTGTATTATAACATACTAAAAATGCGGCAACTGTTACAACTTTAAACTTTTGATGAAACAGTCAATGTTGCCTTTGAACAAGATGGAACACTTTTACAAATCAATCAACAAGTAATGTTCTTCAATATCCAATGCCTTAACATATGAGAACATTAATTTGAGTTTTACTATCTACATCAAAATCCCCTGAATCTTATATCCCTATATTATTCCCTCCTCTGAGATATATATAAAAGATAAACCATCATTTTTGCTCAAAACGTAGTTTACCTAATGGATCACATATGTACAGCCATGTGAAAAAAAATTTCAATTTCGATATGCAGGGAAAAAGAAAAGAAATTGAGGACTATTTTAACTCATCTATAGGGCTGGTTCAGAGCTGACATAGATAGTGTAGCCACACTAGAGAGTAAAATTCTGGAAGGACAAATTTATGAGCAGCAGAGATTGCAACAAATGGTAAGAAGCCTGGTGCCCTGCTAACCTGCTACTGGGCAAAAACCCTGCTTGTTTGATAGACGATGTACAGATTTAGGTTTAGTTTGATTTATTTGATTACAGCAAAGCACTTGAGAGCTCTTAGCCAAGGGGGAGGAATGTTTTCATGGAGGAATTTCTACATGAAACTGCCTCGTATACGCACTACTCATAGGAAAAACCATGGAAACACTCATGCAGCTAGCCAGCCATGAGCCCCGGATCGAACTACCAGTGTTCAGTAGTTTTACCACTCAGCTCCTGTAGGGATGGTGCACAGATTTAATTCTTCTAAATTAGATATAAAAACATTTTCAGCTAATTTTCAAATACAGAAAATTTCATACTATTTTTTATATACTATATCCATACTATATACAGTACAAAGTCCGAAATTCGGACTGATCGGGACTTCGGCGATTCCAGATTTTTTCTGGATAGATCATCAATTTAAATCTGATAAGATGGCATGCAGAAAATTATACAATTAAAAATATGAAATCATAATTTATGAAATAAAGAACAATTATGATCTAAAGGGTATCAAATTTACAAAAAAAGCTTAATATTTATTTGTTCACTTTATTAAACATTTCGTTCAATATAAGTTGTTCAAGATGCTTCCACAAAAAGTTCAAAAAGTTCCTTTTTCTTTTTTCTTGTGTCATATACAGTGGACTTTCCAATGCCATACACCTCACATAATTTTGAGACAGATATGCCTTTATCCAATTTTTGCAGCAATTCCAATTTTTGTTTAATGGACAAAGTTCCGCTTTGTAGATCCTTTGGCAACTCCAGAATTCGAAATTCTTTTCGACATAATCGAAAGTTCAAGTTTAGTTTTTATAAAATTGCCATAATAATAACAGTCTGCAAAAAAATAATAAGCTGGATCAAATTAGAAGATCAAGGAGCAGTGCTGTCTGCTACATTAATTGAAATGCCTTAGAATCAGTAAAGATAATTTTAGATTAGCTTGATAGCGTCTGTTATACATTGTTGGCTGTGTATCACAAGATTGGCGGTGAAAGCCAAGTTGTGTCGCTAAATTTGTCTTGCTCCTCAGGCGTACTGAATTAAGCCTGAATTGTATTAGTTATTTACTATACCTACATTTATTTCTTGTACATGCTTCAAACTAATCTGAGTCCTGAATAAATAAACTTAAGGCTTTATCTAGGGCCGGCATTCAATACCGCCTGGTGCAGTCTCTCTACAGGTCCTAAATTCTGCTACAAAGTGCTTTCCTAAGTTCTACATTTTCACCCTGCCTAAACTTTAGATCCCAGTGCTTTCTCTAAATCATAAAAATTTCTCATCCCTTAATTTTGCTGCTCGGTGCATCCCCCAAATTCCAAAAATTTCGTTTTCCCTAAATTCTGCCATCCAGTGCCCCGCTGCACATATTCTCACCCATCTTGATTAAAATAACATTAAATATAATCTTTTGGCCTATGAATTTCATTAACAAAATCTATTTTTAGCATATGAAAAGAAATTTTTATTGAATTTTTCCTTGTCAACATCTCTTAGCGCATTTAAAAATCTATAATCATCGCCAAGCGTAATGTTAGCATAAAAGGTTGCCATACTCTTGTTATTCAATTACTAATATAAAAAAAAAAGTTTAGACATCACAGCATGAGTTATTACTGAAGCTGTCATGTCTTGATAAACATGCGGTGATGAAATCAAAATATAATAAATAATGACTCGCCAGGTCGGCATCAGAGTGTGTGTGATTATGGCAAAGCCTCGAGGGCTATCTGCCTAAGAGGACTATCTACCTTCGTGGATGACTTTCTAAGGGAAACTGGCTCATATACATGTTACACATGGGGAAAACCACGAAAATGCCCATGCAGCCAGCCTGTTCACGGGATTCGAACCTCAGACCGAACTACCAGTGTTCAGAGACTTGGCCACTGGTGGGCCTTCGGCGTCAGGGATATAAAACAGGTGAATGTTTCAGTTTGAGATGTATGCCAAGTAGATAGTCAACTACGGAGCCAAATTATTAATCTCCCAAATTTATACTTACATGATTGTTTTTTTCCATAACGAGGTATTTTATGTAGTGCCTAAGTGAAATTAAGAATTGGAATTTTTAAGTGAAAATTTCCACATGTTTTATCATGGAAGGAAAAATAAAATATGTATGCGTAAAGCATTAATAAAAAAAATATTTGTGGCTTTGAGGTCTGGATTTATATCATTCTGGATAATAGACGTCAGGATTTTGGACTTTGTACTGCATATATAAAGAATGAACATGTATAATAATTTTGGTGTCAACACCAAACATGAATGATCAAATTATATGACCAGAAGGATAACTTTCTAAAGAAATTAAAATGGCATTCATACTAGTATTTACTAAATGTGTAAGTCAAATTTTTTAAAAATATGGACCAAATCTCATCATGTGGAAATTTACATAACTAAAGAATATTCTAATAAAATATATAGACAATAATATACAATAAAAATATACTAATAAAATATATAGAAAAAAAACTTTTAAAAAATGTACATAATAAACATATATTTATAAATTTAATTTTAAATAAATATACTATATATATTAAATTTATAAGGAAATAATATCACATTTAATACCCATAATCAACATAGCTCTCCCCAAAACAAAATAATTTAAGATAAACTACAAACCTCTGTTGAAGTCTGAATCATTTTTTAGCAAATGATACAACAAAATTAGTCCAGAAGATTATAGTTAATGTTTCCACGTACAAAGTTAACTATTCTAAGGAATCCCATTACTTTTGTTTGTCATTTTACATGCAATTAACAATAAAATGGCAGCAATTAGATAATATTTCAAATAATTAAAACTGCTATTATATCTCAATATAGAACTTATTTATTATAAATTCTTATTCTCTAATCAGTTAATATTTCAAATTATCAACAATTTTAGTATAATAATTTATTTTCAAAGCATCTATACAACAATTTAATCTTAAAGTAGTTAAAACTGTTTCTTGAAAAAAAAAAAAAAAATCAAATCAAATCAAATCAAGCATAACTTACCAAAACGAATGTTTGACAATATGAAATATCCAATGTAAAAAGGGAGAATAACTATCAACATAAATAATATAGCATAGAGACCTAGTTTCCAGTGGATATACCTAGAGCTAAAAAAAATATATACATATGTATAACATAAAAATACATATTTCCTAATACATTTTATTCTTCTACTAGACATTCTTTAAATTACACTCTGTATATGTAATACAGATTTTGCACCAATGTTCAAAATATGAACTTCTAATATTGCACAAGATAGTTCGAATGTAAGAAATCCAGATGTCCAATATCCACAATGATCTACCAGCAATCATTTTCTTTAGAAACATTTTTTGCCTTCTTTACCCATGTGCATTTGATATTTTTTCTTAATAAAATATGTGGGGAGTCCCAATTCTTAATTTCACTTCACCACTAAATAAAATAACTCTATATTGAAGAAATATGCATTTATTAGCATAAATCTGTATGATCAATAATTTGGCTCTGTCACTGCATTTTTGCTTGCCACACACCTCAAACTGAAACATTCTACACTGAAACATCTTTGATTTTATACCTACTAAAAAATTTAAATCCCTGACACGAACTTTATTTATCATATACAGTACAAAGTCCGAAATCGGGACTCATCGAGACTTCTGCGATTTTGGATTTTTCCAGATATTAGATCATCAGTTTAAATCTAGTAAGATGGCATATAGAAATTATAAAATTAAAAATATTAAATTGTGATTTATGATACAGTCAAAAGTCGTTAATTCGGACCTCAAAGCTACAAACTTTCTGCGCATGCGTCTGCTTGACGCATGCGCGTAAGACCTTTATAAGACCTGCACATATGCGTGTGCGCATAATACGTTTACGCATGCGCATTTAATTTATAATGAACGGACGGTATAAGCTAAAATTATCTAATTATCTATTTCAGTTAATGTTGCAGATTGCGTTGTTCCTTAATCTTTGAATTGGATCCGGCTTATTACAGTCAAAAGTCGTTAATCCGGACTCGTCGGGACTTCGGCGATTCCGGATTATCAATTTTTTCTGGATAGATCATCAGTTTAAATCACGTAAGATGGCATGCAGAAATTCTAAAATTAAAAATATGAAACCGTAATTTATGAAATAAAGAACAATTATGATCTAAAGGGTATCAAAATTTACAAAAAAGCTTAATATTTATTTGTTTACTTTATTAAACATTTCTTTCAATGTAAGCTGTTTAAGTTGCTTCATTTTATGTGATAATACTTTCTCTTTAATTCTATAAACAGACATAATTTTTTGTTCAGTTACAAAGTTCCGCTGTTCAAGTCCTGTTAATTGCTGTGCCGAGAATACCGACTAACTTGTCAATCGAAATTTTTTCGTTTTCACTAACCTCTCTGTCACATTCTTCATGTCTTTATCCATTTTTTGCAGCAATTCCACTTTTTGTTTGATGGACATTGAAACATACTTTCGTTTTGTACGATCCTTTGGGAGCTCCAGATTCGGAAATTCTATTTGACATAATCGAAAGTTCAAGTTTACTTTTATAGTATTGCTCTTACAGTCTGCAAAAAATAATAAGCCGGATCCAATTCGAAAATTAAGGAACAACGCAATCATCAACATTAACTGAAATAGATAATTTTAGCTTATACCGTTCGTTATACATAAAACGTGCACGCGAAAACGTATTCTGCGCATGCGCACAAGCAAATGCGCAGTCGTAAGAGGTCTTACACGCACGCTTAAACGCCTATGCGCATGTGTCAACGCGGCGCATGCGCAGAAAGTTTTTAGCTTTGAGGTCCGGATTAAAGATCATTCCGGATTATGGGTGTCCGAATTAACGACTTTTGACTGTATTTTTTGCAGACTGTTAGAGCAATTTTATAAAAGTAAGCTTGAACTTTCTATTATGTCAAATAGAATTTCCGATGCTGGAGCTCCCAAAGGATCTACGAAGCGAAAGTATGTTTCGATGTCCATCAAACAAAAAGTGGAATTGCTGCAAAAAATTGATAAAGGCATGAAGAAAGTGACAGAGAGGTTAGTGAAAACGAAAAAATTTCGATTGACAAGTTAGTCGGTATTCTTGGCACAGCAATTATAGGACTTGAACAGCAGAACTTTGTAAGTGAACAAGAAATTATATCTGTTTATATATAATTAAAGAGAAAGTATTAGCACATGAAACAACTTACACTGAAAGAAATGTTTAATAAAGTAAACAAATAAATATTAAGCTTTTTTTTGTAAATTTTGATACCCTTTAGATCATAATTGTTCTTTATTTCATAAATTACGGTTTCATATTTTTAATTTTATAATTTCTGCATGCCATCTTACCAGATTTGGAACTACTCTGATATGCGCCCTCAAGTCGCCAAATTTCTCGCCAAATATTTTTGGCGAGAAACTTCATGCTGCCTTATTACTATCTAAATTTTTTGTCTATATTTCGAACTTTAAGCCTAAAATGTCTCCAAAAACACGGTTTTCACACATGCAAAAACTACGTATTGAACACATGATTTAAGCTAAAAATCCGAAACGAAAACAAAAAATTTAGATAGCAAAAACGTAAAGTTTCTAACCAAAAATATTTGACAAGAATCCATGTACACAGCAACATGTTTTAACTTAAAAAAACATCTACGAATGGCGCAATGTAGGCAACGAATGAATCTACGAACTCACACACCTCGCTTTAATAAATTAACATAACAATGAATTTCAAAGAATACCGTGTACACAGCATCCTGTTTAAACTTAAAAAAAATCTACGAATTGCGCAATTTAGGCAACGAACGAATTTACGATCTACGCACACCTCGCTTTAATAAAATAACATAATAACAATAAATTTCAAATAATACCATGTAAACAGCGTTCTGTTTCAAAAAACAACAATAACGACAGAAATTCATACTAAATAACCAATGAACATAACATTCTACAAAATAAGAACAAGAATAAAATAAAATGCATTTACCATGAATTAATGCTTCTTCGAGCAGCAGATATACTAATTTCATACTGCCTTTAACATGCCGCCACGTAATCACTATCGTATTTACCTGACAGCCAGACAAACTCCAGAAAATTCATACTATGGTTCACAAATAAATAAAATCACAAATTCCTACTTCTATCATGCACAGCCATTAAAAATAATCTCCCAGACCCTCTTTCCACACTTCCAAATACCCACTACCCCTCAAGAGGATGGCCACAATGATATTTCCTTTTGCCAAACTTCAATTCAACAACTTCTACCATTTTATCTTTCCCTCCCATCTTCTCAGACAAATACGCGAATCAACGAGCTCCAGCGAAAGATTGTTCAACGTCAACAGGGTTGATATAGAAAACGCAATCGCGCCAATAACCAGCGCAGAACATATATCGCCACATTTGGTGAAATTAGGGGATATATCAGAGTTGTACCCCAGATTTGAGCTGATGATCTATAATCCGGAAGCGTCGAAGTCCCGACGAGTCCGGATTAACGACTTTTGACTGTATAATAAAGCATTTACGATCTAAAGGGTATCAAAATTTACAAAAGCTTAATATTTATTTGTTTACTTTAAATATTTTTTCCACTATAAGTTGTTCAAGTTGCTTTGTTTTTTTTATGCTAAAACTTTCTTTTTAATTCTGTAGACAGACATAATTTCTCGTTCAGCTACATAGTTGAAGTCTTGTAATTGCTGTGTCGAGAATTAGGACTAATTTGTCAATCGAAATTTTTTCGTTTTCAGAAACCTGTCTATCACTTTTTTCACTATTATCGGTAGCGGTATTTTCTAGAATTATACAACAGATTTTGCCATCCATTATTCTAAATAAATAATGCGAATTCAAAAATCTTATCAAAAATGAATAGTATAAGAACACTGTGTTACTATATTATTATGTGGCAAGGTATAAGAACATACAGCCAGATTTTGACAAGATATCTCGGTTGATTGGCAATTCATCTCGGGGATCACTATAATAAAAAATGACCAAAAGTATTTATGTAGCAATCCACGTTGTAATTGAAAAGTATCTATGTAGCAAATCAGGTATGTGTGTACCATTTCCCCAGATGACTTCTCTGGACATCTGTGCCAGCATGACTGTGGATTATGATCCCTTCTATGGGAATTCCAGAAGTTTAGTGTGGACTGCTTACTGTACTGTTTCATACCTTTTACAAAATTTTGGACATAACTTTCTACATGCATAACATGGCTTGCTTAAAAGCATCATGCACCTTATTTTAGGATTTTGATGCTAAAGTGCAATATTAAGTTTATACAATTCTCTGATAGTTTTCTACCCCCCCCCCCAAAAAAAGTTTGCTGTATACTTGGAAAGACCAATAATGAAAATATATATATATATATATATATATATAATAAAATATTATAAATAGTATGTAGGGGAAGGTAGCCTAATCTGGACCGCTATAATATACAAAGACTGATGATATCTGCGAGATTTGAAATAGGCATTTTGTTATACGTAGATGTAGAAGAGGTTAATGCAATTGTGTCTGTAAAGAAGCGCCTTGTGGCTACATTGAGAGAAGTGTTATTCGTTTGACTAAGAAGAAAATCTGTTATTTCGACATAAGTGTGAAAGCAGTTAATTCGTCTAAATGTAAGTAATTACATGTCTTATTATACCATCACAAAACTTGCATATTTATCTACAATTTGCAATTATAATTTTGCACGGTTATGTTAGTTTGACATTTCTGTACAATATCAGGCATTAAATATTCAAGTTTCCCAAGTTGGACTGAAAACACATGCTGAAATTGAACTGGTCCAATTTCGGCAATGACATTTTTTTCATGGATAAATTATAATTAACCCTAGAATGCTAACCTTTGAAAAACTTACGGGAATGGCAACCATTCGTCTCCATGCACAAGCATGCTTAAAACTTATTTTAAAAGGTAATTGCAGAAATAGTGCAGAACGCCTGTTTCACCTTCTAGTAGTGATGATGATGAAGATAGAAGTGATAACAAAAATAAATAATTTAGGACAGTTCTTGAAAAAATATCACCGCGAGCAAAGAAAAATTTAAATCCAACTGGCCCTTTGTCTTCTCGCAGTGCACCAATAGCCCAGAAAGCAGTGGAAATAACAAGCAGTCCTTACAAATCGTAGTTATACCAAAACTTTATATAAAAAAATAAATAAATAAATAAAAAATCAGTTCACCAAAGTTTAACAAATGCAGAAACACAGTGGCGTAGCTAGGGAGGGGCAAAAGGGGACATCTGTCCCCGGGCGCAGCATCCAGAGGCGCCAAATTAATGGTACAAAATTTTAAAATGAAACTTTTTACACGTTTGGTACACAGAAAGGGGCACAAGATCTTCAGTTGTCCCCGGGCGCTGAAAACCCTAGCTACGCCTCTACAGAAACATAAAAAAGAAACTGGTGATTCATAGTTTTGTATGTTATGTGAAGAAACCAAGGAAGAAGAAATGATACAATGCATGAAATGTCACGCTTGGATACATACTCGGTGTGCTGGAGTTAAAAGGTTCTTTTGTTGTAATTGCCGTTAAGAAAGCTTATGGTCCAATTTAGGAAACTAGCGGTCCAAATAAGGAAACCGGTTTCCTAAATTGAACCGATGACACGATTTTTTTAAATTCATTTTTCACCATTATAAATGATTTTTAAAATTTAATAAATGGTTTTATTTTGAAGGTACACATAGTGAGTTTATTTTCTACTACTTAATTTTTATTGGCACTTCTTCCGTCCTTCTATGTAGTGAAAAATACAAAATTGGTCCAAATTAGGCTACTTTCCCCAACAATAATCTCTCCAAGACAACTACCCAAAATTCCAAATTAGCATATCTACAAATTTTGAGACTGGCAGTATTTGGCTTTAATACAGTTGTATAGGTTTGACAAAAGTTTCAGTTACAGGCTGTAACTCATCCACTGAAGTTTTTCCAATCCCTTTTGCAAAGAAATTTTTATGGATGCCAAAATTTTACGGGTAAAGTGCAGAATCGCCCACTTATTTATTTAGTGCTTTTTACATGAGTAAGGTCAATTTTCTTTGACTTTTTAAGTGAAAATAGGTCGATGTGTACATGGATAAAGTCAAGGGAGTGTGAAATGCCATTTTTATGCAATTCTGGGATGTTTTTTACAGTGAAAATAAGTCGATGTGTACATGGATACCGAGTATATATGCAATTCTTAAAAATGCGCCAAGCAGTGGGTGATTCTGCACTTTACCCAATTTTACAATGAAATTTTTAAGAAAAGTTGTATACAGCAATCCATTGCATTGCATTTAACTGTGGGGTGGGGGTAGCTTTTTTTACACTGCAAAGCATCAGACTGGAAAACAATTTTTTGCAAATCCTATCGAATGGAACATTTCTAGGAATCCTTGCATGCAGGAATTTTACACAGTCATCATTTCTTCTTTTTGACCGAATGCGTAAGCAGAATTCCAAAGCAAAATCTAATAATATTCTTTGCATCATTTAATAAAGTAACCCTAACTTTAAGGCAAAAATAACATAGAAAGAACCTTACCTGGAGTGAAGAACACCTAATATTTCAAAGATAATAAGCTCGAACATCGTACACGATAACGAAAATGTTACGGAAAACATCAGTTGCACCAACACATGGTGTACCTATCACAGAAATGTATTTTAATGCATTAAAAAATTACAAGCCAAAATGCAGTATAATTTTAAAAAAGAAAATATACAACAGAAGTAACTTAATAATAGAGCAGAAATAACTTCACATATTTTAAAACAGAAAGTAACTATTTGTGAAAAAGCTGTGTACTTCATAATCTCGGAAGAGCTGCTTTACAAAGAAAACCCATCCTCCAACAAAAAACAGGACCTAGAAAATATAAAATAATGAAAGAAATCAGAAAGCAATGAATAAAAAAACAATACAACCACGTAGCAATATTTACCTGCGTTACAAATACAATAAGCGTATCTTCTAATAAAGCCATAGTTAAAATGAAAATCTGAAGAAACGCGCCATACACATTTCGAAGTTAACTTTCCATACAGGAATATGCTTGAAATCAAAATTTCAGTGTACTCTTAACATACCTAAGAACTATGCCGTACAAATAACAAGTACACAGTCGGCAAATTTTGCAGATTATGAGAACGTTACATATTTGTCAAATTAGTGTCGCCATCTGTACATCACTGCTGGAAATAAAATCTTAACGAAATGCTGTCAACTTTTTATTTCATACCACTTTTTAAATATAAATCTTTTCCGAAAAAATAACCAAAAATTGTTATGCGGGGATTTAAATGCAATTTAAAATGAAGTATTTTAATGTGACTTTAAATGTTGCGCTGTAAAACATAATTTTTAAGTGGATTACAAATGTCTAAGTTAAATCAGAAAGTGTATGTGTACATCTGTGTGACATAATGGAATACAGTAAGAACATCTGCTGATATTTTGAAGCCATTAGAGAATATTTAAAATCCTAAATACACTAAAACTTTTGAAGCACAAAATTTTAAATGTAATAAGCAAAAATAAGATATGCCAATATACAAATAATAAGAATAAGATAAAATAATAAGAAAATAATACAAAAATAATAAGAAATGACGTCAAGACAATTTAGCACAGAACAATGAGGCACACTGTATTGATTTCTATATAATTCTATAAATTCATATTAATGATTTTAAGTGATACAAATTCTGTTTTGTATGCATATTTTTGAAATATATATAAATATGCTTACATGTACAACTTTTAAATCGAAAGCATAATTACATACTGCATGATTTTACTTCAGGGTAAAAAGAATATAAAATTCCAGGAATATAACGCAGATATATTTGTAGATGTGAAGCAACTTCTTTAATTATAAACTATTTGTGTAATAAACTGTTAAATTACTGTTACGTAGTAAAATACCCAGGAGGTATCAGTCTAAAAGAAGAGATGTTGATGGAAAAATTCTCCAAAGAAACTGATTTATATAGATTACTGCAGAGCACTTTAACAAATGCTATTTAAGGCAGAAATGTTATCTCGAAGAACTGGCTCTTTCTCATCTTACACGCAGGGAGCCTATTGAAAACTCCTTTGCAATTTGCCTTTTTCCTGGGATTTCAGCACGGGTTTAACTACAAGTATTCAGCGATTTTACTACGCTGCTGCTGACAACACTATTAAAATTCTGCTTTTTAAATACATCCAGTCTGTTATCATTCGCAAATTTCTAGATTCTGAATTAAATTCTAAATGTTACATCTTATCCTCCCTTTTTTAAAAAGTTGAAAAGTTTTTTAAAGAGTTCTTAGAGCTCTGTTCAAATATCTGGCTTCCTGTATATCACCTAGAAACAGAAGAATGATTACTTTCCTATTTCTAGGTCTTTGTTCACTGTCCCTCGTTTCTAAGTTAGCTAAGTTTAGCCGTTTAAACAATGCTTTTGGGAAGATCTGGAATCATGATTTTTTTACATCCGTAACTTTCGTGCGGGAACTTCTTGTTCTGTTCCTTCCATAGTCTGTTCAGAAGCTCAATTCCACCCCCCCTTCTTTTCTAGCGTCGTTTTTAGGTCTCCTAAATATTGCTTTTCCTAATCTTAGTATATATGATCTAGGTTTTCTGAATACTTCTTTTACGACTGCTGGAGTTCAATATAATATACCCTAACATAATCTTCTTTGCAAGCGATGGCAATGCTTTTGTATGACGATCATAATATGACTTCTGCTTAGTTTTTTATTGGCTGATTTTTTTCTTCTATATTTTCAACAAACTGAAGTTTTAGTAATTTGTCCGATGCAAAAATAACTAGACTGGATTAAGACCATCAGAAGCCGTAAACACTTAAAGATTTTGGTGCCCCCGTTTACGCTAGTTTTCTTTTTCTTTTTTTTTCCCCTGCATTCTTTTCCTCTCTGCGTTTTGGTTTAGCTGCACCATACATTCTATGGTAAAACTGGCGATGAGAAATTTTTTGGTGTCCTCTTTCCTTCCCGTGATGCCTCCTTTCCTTGATGCCCTAAGCAGATGCTAATATTGCTTAATGGTTAATCCAGCCCTGGTTCATCGTCGGTGTCTTCCTGTTTCCGCGATTCCTGGTTTGGCGGTTGTCAAAAACGCCCCTGTTTCCGCGAAATCATTAATCTCCTTTCTCAAAAGGTTTACATAGTGGGGGCGCGACTGGGCCTTGGCCTCTCCCGAAATGTGGGAGAACAAAAAATTTTTAGATTTATGAAAAGAATTTTTAAAAGAAATAATAAAAAAATATTTACCATTTCAGATCTTTGCTTTATAAGGTATTTCTCCCACCTTCTTGGCATGCTTTCGTGATGTAGTGGTCTGCATGCTGGGGACGTATTCCAAAGATCCGTGGTTTGATTCCCGGCGAAGACGTTGCATATTTTTCGTCTTTCCTGCTTCCAAAATATCTAATGCCTCAACAGCTTAAGTGAAGCTAATACTGTATTTAAAAGGGGAGTGGGAGATGTTGAAACTCTGCAGTGATTTTGGCAACGAACTAAAAGATCCTTTCCCGAAGTAAAATTAATACGCTTCTGAAATTCTGCATAAAGATGAGCTATAATAAAATCTTTCAGAATAAATATTCGTTCAAAAACGACGTTCTTTCTTCTAAAAGCACAACTTCTTTGGTCTTAATTGCGCCTTTGTAGCTGTTAATTCTTAATTCTTTCATTTATGCAACTCCAATAAACTATATTTTCCTTATTTCTATTCCGAATTCGATACTGATAACTTTTTTTTTTTTTTTTTTTTTTTTTTTGTTTTTAAGTTTCAATAATATCTGAAACATCCATAATGATTAATGAATAGTGGCAGCTAATATTGTAACAGAATTACAAATAGAATGAAGCTAAAAACTTCGAGAGGAGCCTACACTAAGACATGTCTTCAGTCTAACTTATTCACAAAAAAAAAAAAAAAAAAAAAAAAAAAAAAAAAAAAAAAAACTGTCCAGCTCTTCTTAATGACTCATCGTCTCATCGTGACATCTCCATGGAGGTAGGAAGTAGACTTTCTCACCTCCATATGTAAGTGTTCCTATGGAGCTCATTATGCTAAGCAAGGATCATCATGATCTGCTCCAGTTTTCTTTAATAATTTTTTCACCGTTTGTAGTGTACGTTCCTCTATTCTGTTCGACTAAAAACGATGGTATGTATGGCGCGTGATATGTTTAAACTGGTATTTCTTAGCAAATTATGCACATTCTTTACTTGTATATTGACGTGCATTATCACATATAATTATCGGTGATGTGAAATATCTTTTAAAATGACATTTTGTATAATTGATCATTGTCTGACTTGGAATATTTTGTAATTTAGAGATTAAAAAATTTGGAATAATAATCTATCATAAAAAGTATGCATATTTATTTGTCTCAAATAAATATATTCCAACTTTATATCAAGGTAAATTAGGAACATCGTGTGTTATCATAGATTCCCTAACATTTTTGTTTGGATACTCATTACATATAGCATATTTTGAAATTTTTATTTTCTATCTGATTATTCATAAGTGGCCAAAACAACTTCAGCTCTTTTCTTATATTTTTCAATGTTAGGAGACGCTGACTAATGCGGTTATTAAAATTAATAGCCAAAATCTCCATAAATAAAAAAAATCCTTATTTATTAAAAATTGCGTTTTCTTACTTTCATTTCTGCAGAAATATTCTTTAATTCCTGGACATCCATTTTTTTTTCAGACTTTTTATAACGTATTTTCTCCCTCCGGTCCATGTTCGGGTCCCCGCGAGAGCATTGCTCATTTTTCATGTCTCCTGCTTCAAAATAACCTAATGACTCTACAGTGGTGTCTGAACACGGACAACGTGGTGGATGATGAGTCTTCACGAATTTGGCGATTGGGTCCCATACCTCCTTTTTAAAGGGAGAGTATATAAGATATTTAAAAGGAGGAGTGTATAAGATATTTTCTCCCTCCTTCCTGCATGCTTTCGTGGTGTAACAATAGCGCACTCGGCGCGTATTCGAAAGGCCCAGGTTCGATTCCCGGCGAGAGCATTGTTCATTTTTCCTGCCTCCTGCTTCAAAGTAACCTAATGACTCTACATTCTGAATTTCAATGCCTAGCCATGATAAGATTAATTAAAATTAAATATCAGAAGATTGAAACTGACACGCATTTCTTGTTCAATTGATTTAATTTATAGATCAGTGCTAGCTTAACATCCGATGACGGAACAATTAATCAATTGTTCTGAACATTCTTTATTACATCTTAGGTTCGATCTCAGGTTTTAATATATATATATATATAATTTAAAGTAAAGTAGAAAGACAAACGAAAAATGACCTATGTGGGCAAAAATTTTGCGCATTGTGCTGCAAAATTAAGGAATTTAGAAGATAAATTTTAGTACGCACGCTAAAAAGTTGTCAAAAACTGTGGCTCCGCGAAAACTTCAACATAAGCAAATTTAGTTGCTATGAAATGTGTGAGAAAAGAGAAATATACAACATTTGAATATTTACAAGTAAAAATTAACAAAAATAGTAACCTATATGCTAAAATATATATATTTGAATACATCGATGTTTGTTCTCTGTATACGTACCCAGGTGTTCTAAAAATCTTTATCACAGATTTCACTTTCTAAAGCTGACACTTCTGAAAACTGATTGAGTATCAGTTTTCAATTTGTTGGAGAGTTTCGTCGCATCATTTGAGAAGAAGGGAAATGTTTTCTTATAACGAAGTGTCCTCAGAAAGGTCTCTGTTGGCTTATTTTCTTAAATACTAATGCAATATGCATGCAATTAAAAATCTTTCATAAAAAGACGTATCATTTATGAAAACAACTTTTGCATAGTGAGTGGGATGGGTCGTACGAGTAATAAAGTATAGTTTTTTTATAGCCACCATAGAGTGAAATACGAATATTCATTATATCGGAAGCATATGTGATTAGGACTTAAGTGTCCTTCAGCTTTTTCCTTTTTTTTTTTTTTTTTTGTCCTTTTTTGATCTACATCATACTTTTGTAAATTTAACAACATTCTTTGTAATCGCGGAGATGCCTTAAAAAGAGACTTCTTGATTACGCTTTCTAATGGTCGATTATCAATTTCAACCGTAATTTGTTTGC